AGATACAGACCTTTAAGGGACGCCGCTAGCTGTTGACCTTTATTAGATAACCTCGAGCGGACAGTACAGATCAATGAAATTACTGTGAATTATGATAACACGATTTCAGATAGAGCCAAAATTTTATGGTGTCTAAAAATAAAGTCTAGATGGTTAAGGATGGACTAGTCCTACCACAATGTATTCATGCTTCTTTCATTTTGGATAATGGGCAATGGCAGAATGCTGATTCTTTGGGAAAGCCTAATTCTGGATAAAGTGTCTGCTTTGACATCAATAAAATGAGACATTTTGTAAAAGTGATCTGGAACATATACTAAGTGACATATAGTTCCGAACACCCAGTTTAAATGGTTGTATTTTAATAAAACTTGGTGAATGTATTTATCTTACTGTAAATAACAATTTTCAGCCTTATCAGTTGGACATTCTGGTTTTTACACTGCTTTTTTTTAATTCACTAACGCTCTAAAAATAAATATTTCAGCCGCAGTAAAGAATCAACGTTGGCGGATTTTGGTTCTTGACATCCTTTACGATCGGTTACGATGCCTAGAGTACGGAGACCTGTACGATTTCGTCAACTTGGTGAGTTTGATAGGGGCCGTATAGTGGGACTTCGGGAAGCTGGACTTTCTTTTCGGGCAATTGCAGTTAGAGTGCAAAGAAGTGTAGACACTGTGGTTAGGTGTTATCAGGCATGGCTTCGAGAAGGCCGTACGCAAAGAGCAAGGGGCACTGGACGCCGCCGTAGAACAACAGACCGTGAAGATTGCCGCCTAAGATTATTGGCCTTAAGGGACCGTTTCTCTACTACCAGGTCCATTGCAAATGAATGGTTTGCAGAACACGGAAGACCTATTGGCATGCGAGTGTTTACCGACGAATGAGAAGTTTTGGCTTGTTTTCATACCGGCCACACTGGGTCCTCCCTTTAACTCGAGAACACCGACGTAATCGCCTTGAGTGGTGCAGACAACGGTCACTCTGGGATCAGGAATGGAACAGTATTGTCTTTAGTGACGAGTCTCGATTTTGTTTAGGCATGCACGATGGTCGTGCCAGGGTTAGAAGGCGACGTGGTGAAAGCAGGAATCCACATTTTTTTGTTGAAAGACATGTTCATCACACTGTTGGAGTTATGGTTTGGGGTGCTATAGCTTATGGTTCCATGTCACCTTTAATCTTCATCAGAGGTAACATGAACGCGCAGCGTTATATCCACGAAGTTCTAGAACCCCATCCTTTACCCTATCTTGACACCCTGGCAGATCCAACTTTCCAACAAGATAATGCCCGACCACATGTTGCAAGAGTCACTATAGACTTCTTTCAACATAATGATGTCACATTGTTACCATGGCCACCAAGATCTCCCGACTTATCCCCAATTGAGCACGAGTGGGATATGATGGTAGGAGATTGCTCAATTTGTAACGTCCTCCTCAGACTCTAGAAGCACTTTGAGAGGAGTTGGTGGTTGCCTGGAATGAGATACCACAGGAGGATATTGACCACCTGATCAGAAGCATGCCTAGGCGCGTTGGAGAATGCGTAGCACATCAGGGTGCATCCACACATTATTAAAGGTGCAGTGCAATCATTTTGAAATGTTTATCATTTACTTATTATGCTTCATTAAGTACTTATACAAAATTTTATTAAAATAAAACCATTTAAACTGGGTGTTCGGATTTATATGTCACTTAGTATATTTGTGGATGTCAGATCCAGTATAACGGTTGATAAGTTAATCCTGATACATACTTCTTAATAAGCTGCTTATTCTATTGTAGTCAAACATTACACTTTTCTAAGTAAAGATTGCAGCTTTCCAAAAATATCATTGTACCATTGTTATACGAGGTAAGAAACAGATACCAATATAACGTTATTATCAATCACTCCCCAGCAGCTGCACTGTCACATACAAAACGTGTCATATCAGGCGCTGATTAATTGAAATTCTGCCAAGATTCAAAAAAAACCGATTACTATGTGTCTTGTTAGAGAATTGCGGCGAGATATTTTCCATAAACATTCTATATAAATCCGAGAAACCGACTGCATAATCTGTACAGAAAGATTGACCGGTGTCTCCTAAGAAATATTTTCCTTAGATCAAATCTAAATACCTTTGAAACGATTTTAACTGAAATCTATCGTCCAGTCGTACCTACAATTGTAGGACGCCTTTATGCTGCTGCCCCGTGTCAGGTTCAGCACTAAGCTATTGTCAAGCTATGTTTTCTTCTTGAATTGTAGGAAATATCAGCATGAATTTGATGCAAAGAGATATTTGTAGCATAACCTCAAAATAGAGCGCTGACACGGAAGGGTGATAACTATGTAAATCAAGAAGGGCCGTATCGTCAGTCATTCCTACAATTGTAGGACGCCTTTATGACCTCCTTGATTTTCATAGCCTATTCTTTCCTTCTAGATTTCTGCTGTTCCATGGCAGCGTCAGCTCTCTCCCCTTTTTAGACTATGTTTTCTTCTGAATTATATTAAATTTTAGCCTGTATACCAGATGATATAAATCACAAACATGAATAACACTGGACAACAAATTTTAGTTTTTTAATTGTATCTTGTGGGAAAAGTGCACTTGTTTGTTAATTTTGGGGCGCTGAATCCAAAAATGACAATGAAATAAAAAAATTAGTTGCGGTTTAGAAAAAAAACTTTTTATTTTTAAGGTTATATTAAAAAAAGTAACAAGATTCATAACCTTATAAGAATCACTATATGCGCTGTCTTTTTGCTGTTCTTTTATGGATCGTTTCTGGAGCATCTCTACCAAGAGTCCAACACTAGTCTGCAAGCATGGAAGGATTCCACTTTCCCTGGTACCTTTTTTCCATTGTTGAAATATACTGATGAAAACGTTCGCTCCGCAATTGCCAGGAAAAAAGTCCAGGTGTGAGTGTAGGAAATGTATCTTAAGAGACATATTACAGCCATCTTTTGATACGATGACAGCATATTTTTGACAAGGGTTTTATAGTTGTCAGCTTTTCTATTTCCCAAGAAATTAGTGACCACCAGACGGAAATCATTCCAAGCAGCTTTTTCAATACCTGTTAAAGTGTTTTCAAACTGTGTATCTTTCAAAATATTTCGAATCTGTAGCCCAACAAAAATACCTTCTTTAACCTTTGCCTCACTTAGTCTTGGAAATTTCTGACGCAGGTATTGAAAAGCTGACCCATCTCTATCTAATGCCTTGACAAAGTTTTTCATTAGGCCCAACTTGATATGCAGTGGTGGTAATAATTTTTTTTTTGAATCTACTGTACATTTGTTTGACCTGGCTCTAGGAATTGACGAACAGGCCAGTTTTGTCTGGTGTAATGAAGTGCCTTTGCCCGACTGTCCCATTCACACAAAAAACAGCAAAACTTTGTGTAGCCTAGCTGCAGCCCAAGTAAAAGTGCAACAACTTTCAAATCGCCACTAATATGCCATTGGTGCTCATCGTATTTTATGCACGTCAATAAGTACTTCATATTGTCATATGATTCTTTCATGTGAACTGCATACCCTACAGGAACAGATGGTAAAATATTTCCAATATGCAATAACACTGACATTAAACTCAATGTTGAACTGTCTATAAACAGTCTCCATTCTTCTGGGTTATAGTTTATATCTAAAGCCGCCGGTAAGCCGTTAATGTTACTGCAGAAAACCAAGTTATTCTTCATATTGAAAAATGGTTCTAAGTCTTTGTGGCGTTTACGAAAAACACATACCGAAACATCGTCTTCTAACAAGTTCCACTGCAGCAGTCTTGATCCAAGTAACTCTGCCTTACATTTTGGAAGTTCTAAATCTCTTACAAGATCATTTAATTCTGACTGTGTTATTTTGTGCGGTTGGTGGCATGACGTGCTCGGTATAAAATCAGGATCTCTTGACGTTGATGGCATATCTTCTTCCTGACGAATCACTCGATCGCCACGATCTGATTCGTTTTCTGATTCGCAAGTGTAGGATTCTGGGGGTTTTTGAATAGGATTTTCGTCACTGTGAGGCACAGGTCTCATCGCAGATGGTATGTTTGGGTAGTTAATAACCGATTTTTTTTCTTGGACATACCTATGGCTTGTCCAACACATGGTACCATGCAAAAGTAACAATCATTAATATGATTTGTAGGCTCTCTCCAAACCATTGGGACAGCAAAGCGCATAGACCGTTTTTTGCCATTTAACCAGCTCCTCAGACTTGAAGCACATGTATTACACCAGATGTGGGGTGCCCACTGTTTGTCTTGATCACCTAGTTTACAACCGAAATAAAGCTGATATGCCTTTGTTATTAGTGGAGTAATAGACCGTCTCTGAGACGCAAAAGTTACATCACCACACACGTAACAAAACTGATCTGGATTGTTTACACACTTTCGAGACATCTTGCATGAACGCTGTCAGCCAACTGAGGAAACAATAGCTAATATAAAACAATATAATGTACACGTATGTATAACGTAACACAATCATGCCGATTACATCATCTTTCCTTGCCGAATATAAAAATGTTGCACGTGCATTCTTGTGAATTACAGTATACAGGTATTAACACTGTCACAGCAGGAACACATATAATTACCGTATCTCTAAAACTTGAACTAATATTGAAAAAATAAGTTTCATTCCGGTTTTAGCACATTAAAAATAGTAATATTTTGTTGATTTTATTTAGGATATTTTTTGGCTGTTGATCAGTGTAATTTGATGCAAGTAGATATTTGTATCATAACCTCAAAATCCTACAATTCTAGGAGCGACTGGCGATACCGACCTAAGGCTAACACTAACTAAGTCTACTTACAGGCCGATACTTATTTCAGCTGGTTTTCTTTTTAGATGGTTGTTGATGCATCGCAAATTCCAATCTGTTGCTATCAACTGAAATTTTTACAATATTGCTAGATTTAAGACCACGCCACATTCTGTAAGGGAGTAATAACTCAGGATAATAAAATTTCGGAGGAATTTGTCAAAATATATTACGAATACAAAATAAGAACATAAAACACCTTAATCTATAGACAGCCTGTCAGAACTGGAACTAATGGTTCGGAAACTTATTTACAAAAGTTTTAACAAATGTAGACGATATTATCACTGATATTTTATATACGTGTCTCTAGCGAAATAAAGGATGCCTAAATTGTATCCGTCATTTTCAGTTGACGAACTATCAAAAGAACGTCGCTAAGCTATGTGTGTCTGACTTGATTAGCTACTTTAAACCATCCACAGCCAACAGAAATTCTCTGACAGGCCCATCGAGTGAACTCAAAGGAAGATAACTCAGTTTAAATTTTCTTTAAACTATGATTCTAGCGGTGGACTTAAAAGCAAAGGTTGTGGAAGGTATGTGAAAAATTGAGCCCTTCCCTGGAAATGTCAGAAGTTATCAGCAGAATGATTCGCCATAAAATCTATTGTACTTTTTCCCTGTGTGTTTATGTTTGGGTACATACAGTGCTCAAACACGTCGTAAAGCTTCGACTATTGAAGGCAGCAAATCACTGCAATGTTGCATATTCCAAAGCTAGGCCCTATACGATTGATAATAAAAGAGCAAGCAGAATGATCCTTGCTATGTAACTATCACATCCAGCTGATAAACATCAGTCTTTATGAGCGTTGTATTATACGACTCTATAAACAGATTTTTATTGAGGTTGTATGCTTTATAGCTTGCGACTTTAAATATTTTGCTGTTTTTCGATCCCAGCTTATAACGTTAGCATTTAACTTTACCTTCTATCTGTGTAACGGATCTGGCAGATTAAACTACTGACAAAGTTTTAAAATAGCATGGGCATCACGCTTCAACACTAAAGCTGCTTAGTAATTCTGAGCACCTAGAGGGATAAATTTACATTTTTGTAAGCAGTAGATATTTTTTCTCTGCGCATAGTCTTTTGTAGCGGATGTAACAAAAGTAACTGAGCGGCTTGCTACTCTTCTAGGTATGGTATTTTCACCTTCAAGGTCATCTTTTGTTGTTTAAATAGAAAGTTCTTATTTTGACAGCGGCATTCGAGAGATCAGGACATTCTATGTTCGAGTATCTATTAAAATATAAGATCAAGGTCATCTGTGAAGGTCAAGTGAAGGTCATAAGTGTGGGGCATGGGAAAATTATAAAGTGGTTAGCAGGAAATTGAGAAAGCTGATTATTAGTAACTCTTAGTAAATATTTCGGTGGCGACCTTGGATTCAGCCTTGAACCTCACCTTCAGTCCTTTCAGGGTCACCTACTTTTTAACTGGGAATCCCACTTAATTTTGTTATATTACGCTCTTAAGTACTGTTTGGCCTTCAAGGTGCGGCTCACGGTAAAATCTAAAGTAATTACTGAAATCCATGTTATTAAAGGTGTAACCTGGATCTTTTTCATCAATATCGTTACTAACTAGGAATTTGCAGCAGCTTCACACATTTGACTTTTAAATGTGACTTTGTCCCTCGATTGCTGGTGTGAAAAAAGGGGTTTTCTATTTAATACGCAAAAGTTGAACTTGTAATTACCTTGAAGGCAAGGCTCAAGGTCAAATCGAAGGTCACCATTAAACTGTTTATTCATAGCTAGGAAAGACATGATTCTAACCTTCTTCAAGTGAAAGAGCATCGATCCGTTGCATTACTTTTGTTATGCCCAGTATAGTTTAACCACAGGGATCCAGACAGCCAGCAGTACGTTTAGTACTGACACGCCCCGCATACACTTTTGTCTTCACAATCCATTACCGAATACTGTTAAATCAAAGGAGGATCCTGAAAATACTGTGTACCTTGATAATAAAACAAATTGATGGCCAACTTGACAGCTCACGGCTTACTACGTCTAAAGCCTTATTGAGTATCTTCATTTATTAAGGTACTTGCCCACTATACTATACCAAACTAGGAACGTGTTATAAAGGTAGGGCAACATTGCCGATAACACCGAGTCAGGCTCTGTGCACATATCTCAAACATGCCATAGAAATTAGAATATATGAAGAGATACAAATTTCTTTATTTTTAACTAAGACGTAGTCTAAGGTATTACGTGTGTGTGGTGCTGCCGCCTCGACTACATTGCCCATGCTCGATGCTGTTCAAGGGAGAGCTAGCAGTCCTACTGACTCTCGCTCTCTCTCTCTCTCTCTCTCTTCGGCACCCACGGGTCGTCAACGATAGGGCTCTCTTTGAGTCAACGTCCTGGTTTCAGCCTACCAGCACCTTTGTACTAATTGGCTCCTCTTCACAATCGGCGATTACAAAAGATTTCGCGAGAGCACGATCGTGTAGAGTGCATACTCGCCTGTACTCGTTGATAATCATCTATGATCGCCTTCGACCCGTGACTTGTCGGTTTTTCGGACAAACTATTAAGGACACTCATGTGGATGCTTGCGATCACACGATCAACGATCGTCGCCGATAGTGAAGTGCAGGCATATGGTACCAAGATTGTAAAACAATCTATCCTCACTTCTGGCAGCTCTATAAGCGGATAAACAAGGTGTCTTGAGGTTCATATAGCAGTCGCGGTGTCCAGTATTCTGCCTAGCCTTCTGTATACAAAAAACTAATTTATCATAGCAAGCCTTGGACTCCTAACTGTCACTTTGACATCATATCAACAGTTATACTGAAATCCGGTGCTATATATCTTGTTAATACTGTACAGTGGGCAAATGCCTTAATGACTTGACATTGAAAATCCCAGTTGTCTAATAGGGGTTTTACAATCAGCAAAATGCAAGAGAAATCTTGTTCAGACGCATGCGCACCAACAAGACACACGATTCTTGTTGTCGCCTTCTTGCAACTGCCGGGTCTTGTACTCTTAGTTGGGAAAATTTAGTAACTTACACGTTACCAATGCACGCAGACAGGTCCTGTGGTTTTTGTGGTTATACGTAATTGTTTCTGGTATAGTTAGTTGAGGCAGTGTCTTTCACTCTTACTTACTTACAAAAAGTACGGAACGTTGTCAAAGCCAAACACGACGACCCATATAGGAGCAACTTTAGGAGATTGGGTATCACGACATTATATGCCGCAATCATTTAACATCGGTTGATTTAGATCAAACAAAATAAGGATGAATACGATCTACAGTCATGACACTAGAGAAAAATATAAAATAGCTACTCCACGACACCATATTGAGAAAACAAAATACCTTGGAACAAAGCTTGCTTTACAACTCGCTACTTTAATATGTGACTGAACTACAAGTGAGTGCTTTTAGAAGGCAACTGGAACAAGATTTAAATAAAATAAATATATTAAAAAAATACTATAGGGTAGTATCGAACAATTTTTTGATTCACTAAATAACCAATGTGTATGTTAGACCAAAATTGCTGTTTCTATCAATTTATTCTTATCCGATGTCTTTTGTAATATTTACCTGGATTGTTTTCAATATCTGTTATGTATATTTCGAATTTTAACGCTGATATCTATCCATATAGTATTCATGGATGTATGTCTATATTTAAGCAGTTTTGCTTATTCACGCCAGGAGTGTTATTTGATTGTGCTTTGATTGGAACTACTTTCTTGATATTAAGAACATGCGTTATAAAAGGTAAAAAACCAAAACCAAAACTGTAGGCTAGGAATGTGACAGATTGTAATTGTCTTGTAGACAAAACAATGCCGTCTTGAAACTGCAAGACTGTAAAACGGTCTTAACAAATACGTTCATAAATTAACGTTTTCTTCACCTGTCATAACATCGTCTACATTAGACAATCGACATATTCCTGCAACCTTATTGCGCGTAAGTAACTCCATGCTTCTGTGACGGTACTGCGTAGTACTGCCTCGTGGCTTGTGGCTGTGCGTAGATATACTGCTGCGTAGAGTGATCAGCACTCTCGAATGTCTGCGGAGCGGTCTGCACGTACTGCACTGGTTGAGCAGCAGACTTTTGAGCTGATTGGTACGTTGCCGGTGACGGTACGTAGTTTACCACGTGCTCAGCGGGGTTAGATTTGTAGATCAGGGCCTGCGCTTGGGGACGAGCGTATGCAGCTTTTTGGGACACTTGTTGGTAAGCATCGTCAAGACCTGCGGCAGCTGGGGATGAATAAGATGGTTGGCTGGCTACTGCTTGGGAGTATGTGGTGGGAGTGCCTGATGCATGGCTGCTGGGTGATGCTTGGGAGTAGGCACTTGGAGATGATGAATAGGCACTGGAGGCGTGAGAGTAGTCTGGAAAAATAAAACGCAAAGATCAGCTGAGGTATAGGACAACATATTGCCGCGGATTAATAAAACTTCTAATTTAACTTCCTTCCTTTTTTCAATCAAACCTCAAAAAACTTTGTTTGCCTCAAAGCTTGTTTCATATTTTTTTATGTCATTCTGAACAGATTCTCGCAGTCACCCAAAGTATATATTCAGCGCGCGCTCACGCAGGGTATACATTCAGCGCGCGCTTGAAAAAGCAAAGAGTCGTAAGAACCTAAATAAACCAGGCGCTGGATGCAATTGAGTTTGCAAAATGTGAGGACCTCACTTTATGAACAGATATCTACTGAAAAGAGGTCAAAGAATAATAATCTCGATCTTGTCTGATTTTTCCCGTTATCTCTAATCCCCTCCACTCTTATGTAATTACAAAAAAGCTTTTTCCTGTTCCGACTATTATTTTCTCATTTCTGTTATCGTTTCCGAACTATAAGCCATTTGATGTCTGAAGATCCCTAAAGATCATATTCGATGCTAGAAAGCTCAGTTAAAAATAATTATTTTTGAGGTTTGCAATTGCTTAAATCAAAGCTTCCAGTATAAGATCCCGACGATCATTTCAAGACTAATTAATTTTAATCTGGTTGTTAGGCTAGTTTATTAGCCCAAAATTGACTTACTTTTGATTTTCACAAACTGTACATACCACTTTAAATAAATTGATGCTGAAACCAATGTCTTGCTCATGGTAAAGTGTATTGACAGTTATTTTTACATAATCGTTTACAGAACGTTCAAAAGGCCAAGGAAAGGTAGTAATAGGTGGTCACTTCCACATGGATTTTTCTATTGGAAATGACCCCTTTCACTACCTTTCCATGACTTTTAGGATGCATTGACTATTTAAAAAAAGTGTTTAACCTAACTTTAACGACGTCCTGCATATATACTAAGTGACATATAAATCCGAACATTCAGTTTAAATGGTTTTATTTTAATAAAAGTTGGTGAATGTATTTCGGTTACGATGCCTAGAGTACGGAGACCTGTACGATTTCGTCAACTTAGTGAGTTTGATAGGGGCCGTATAGTGGGACTTCGGGAAGCTGGACTTTCTTTTCGGGCAATTGCAGTTAGAGTGCAAAGAAGTGTAGACACTGTGGTTAGGTATTGTCAGGCATGGCTTCGAGAAGGCCGTACGCAAAGAGCAAGGGGCACTGGACGCCGCCGTAGAACAACAGACCGTGAAGATCGCCGCCTAAGATTATTGGCCTTAAGGGACCGTTTCTCCACTACCAGGTCCATTGCAAATGAATGGTTTGCAGAACACGGAAGACCTATTGGCATGCGAAGTGTTTACCGACGAATGAGAAGTTTTGGCTTGTTTTCATACCGGCCACACTGGGTCCTCCCTTTATCTCGAGAACACCGACGTAATCGCCTTGAGTGGTGCAGACAACGGTCACTATGGGATCAGGACTGGAACAGTATTGTCTTTAGTGACGAGCCTCGATTTTGTTTAGGCATGCACGATGGTCGTGCCAGGGTTAGAAGGCGACGTGGTGGAAGGAGGAATCCACAGTTTTTTGTTGAAAGACATGTTCATCACACTGTTGGAGTTATGGTTTGGGGTGCTATAGCTTATGGTTCCAGGTCACCTTTAATCTTCATCAGAGATAACATGAACGCGCAGCGTTATATCCACGAAGTTCTAGAACCCCATCTTTACCCTCTCTTGACACCCTGGCAGATCCAACGTTCCAACAAGATAATGCCCGACCACATGTTGCAAGAGTCACAATAGACTTCTTTCAACATAATGATGTCACATTGTTACCATGGCCACCAAGATCTCCCGACTTATCCCCAATTGAGCACGTGTGGGATATGATGGGTAGGAGACTGCTCAATTTGCAACGTCCTCCTCAGACTCTAGAAGCACTTCGAGAGGAGTTGGTGGGCGCCTGGAATGAGATACCACAGGAGGACATTGACCACCTGATCAGAAGCATGCCTAGGCGCGTTGTAGAATGCGTAGCACATCAGTGTGCATCCACACATTATTCAAAGGGCTTTAAAGCAGTGCAATCATTTAAAAATTTTTATCATTTACTTATTATGCTTCATTAAGTACTTATACAAAATTTTATTAAAATAAAACCATTTAAACGGGGTGTTCGGATTTATATGTCACTTAGTATAGTTTAAAAAATAACTGCCGATACACTTTGCTATAAACAAAACATTGGTACAGTAAGCGTAAATCAACGGTTCGCCTAGTAAATTATCTTAAGGGTAAATAATATTGAAAAATTTTAGAGGCCTTATAGATGAAGGTTTCAAACGTGTTGAGTGTCATTGAACATGACTATTTTCAGATTTTTTCACATATTAACTGGCTTATAGCTCAAAAATGACTAACTTCATAGAAAAGTTACAAGAACCCTTTTTGTTCAGTATGATCCGAGAAATCAGAAAAAATGGCGTCAAGAGGGTTGACTATGCACCTTCCACGCAACGCCGTTAACAGTTCATAAACGATTATGTTCAGCTCCAACTAGATCCGTTGAGAAAAAAGTCAGAGGAACATACAATAGGTCCATAGACATTTTTCCCTTGTCCCATCAGTAGTGCATCTGGAAACGATACCTCTCCCTGATTGGACGCAGCAGCGCGGTCAGAGCATAGGAAACACGCTGCTGTGGTGTTGCAGAAATACGTGTGATGCCATACCAGAACCATAAGAGAATTATCACCACAGCGCAACCGGTTACTGAGAGTATTTTTCCAATTTCTTTTACTGATGTACGTAGAAGTATATGATGTGTCAACAAATATGACTAATAAGTGCGTAGAATTATCAAGGTTGGGAGCGAATAAATATACTAACATTGTGCATTCAAAATTCATGTTTGGACGTTAGTTGTACATGGCGATCGCAGTACCTCTTTGGACAAGGTAACATTTGTTCGCAAGTTACGACTGAAGAGAAAATGCATACTAAATGCACACAATTCGTATCTTTGTAAAATATATATACAGGGTGTAAACGTTATGGTAGTAGGGGGGGGGTTCAAAACAAGTCAAAAACTTCATATGACCCAGGGTACAAGAGTCAATAGATTTTTGTCTAGATGGCTTTATAGTTTACAACTTTAAGTGCTCTATATCGACCACAATCACCACAATCTTACTATGTTTATAATCTAATCTGAAACGTTTTTAAATTGGGTAATTAACAAATAAATGGCATTAAGTTTTTCTAGGTTAAGCCAAAATTTGTAGTCAGTAAGTAAGTTTCATTAAATTGAATATTTAAGATACACATGACAACAGCGCGTCGGTCATCATCACCACTATCGAACCGGCAATCGATCGCAGACGGTAACAGTGGTTAGTATGTTGTTTTGGCTTTGCATCAGCACTCGGGAATTAGGCCGCTGCATAGGACTATCGCGTACAATAGTCCATAGGATCCTACGGGAACTTTTGCTTTATCCCTACCATGTACAACGAGTGCAGACCTTGTTACCAGAATACCATCCTCGCAGACTAACATTCTGTCAGTGGTTTTTGCACAAAAACATAGGAAATCGGATTTTTGTTAAAAACATTCCAGCGACGGATGAATGTACTTTTAAGCGAGACGGGATATTAAATTTCCATAATACTCAAACGTGGGCCCAAGAAAATCCTCATACCATTCGTGAAGGTCATTTCCAACAACGTTTTGAAATAAGTATTTGGGCGGGTATTCTTGACGATCAGGTAATTGGCCCTTTCGAGTCCCCAAAGTTGTCAGGAGAAGGATACCTTAGCTTTCTAGCCAATAACCTACCAGAACTTTTGGAACAGACCTTAGACAATATGCCATTATATCGGTGACAGAATTTGTAGTTTCTTCATGACGAGGCTACCATACATTTTTAGAGGCGTCATCCAGTATTTGAATGAACATTATCCAAATCACTGGATTGAAATACTCCTGATCTTCGAAAATGGCCAGCAAGGTCTCCTGATCTCAATCCGATGGACTTCTGGTATTGGGGAGAACTTAAAGGGATGTTTTATGGGGCTGGTCCAATAACAACTGAAGCACAACTTCGCGAAAAAAAATTTAATGCGGCTGAAATAGTAAATGGACAACTTCGAGGAGCTAGAGTAAAAAAAAACTGGGTTCGTCGTAATGAAGCTTGTGTGGAAAGTGGCGGACAACATTTTGAACACCTTCTTTGAATACAAAAAAATTGCAGTGTGGGCTTTAAAAACAAAAACAATGTATGTATCAAAATTGTGTTCCCTATGTAGAAGTGGATTTTTTTAATACGTTCATTAAACCTTCACACACCAGGTGCAGCGCTGAGACAGTTAGTGGTAAGTCCGTTTTTTTTGTTTGAATTTTACGAGTACATTATCAAATAATGAAATAATACCTAAGAGCCAAAAATAATAAACTCCATCTTTATTTACGCTGCGTTCCGTCGTCATTTGCACCCTGTATATATAACATTGTTATTTAGTCATTTCTATACACACCATGAAATAATCAGATGAAGAGGATCTAGAATACTGCTCCAAATAGGCCGTTGAAGAAAAGGTACATACGAACTTATCTGAAGCTGCCACTTACCAGGCTGTGAGTACTGGCTGGAACCTTGAGAGTAAGCGCTTGGAGACGCCGAATAGGCATTTGGCGAGGCTGCGTAAGCTGCAGACGATTGCGAGCTCGCCTTTGATGGTGAATAGGATACCGGTGCGGACTTGGTCCTTGGTACGCTGATGTACTGCACCTTAGTCGGCTGACTGTAGCTGGCTGCCTGGGAAGTACCTGATGGTGCTTTGCCAGCAAGTTGCTGGAAAAGGCCCGCGCTGTTGTAGGACACTACTGGACTGGAGTAGCTGAAGCTAGAAACGTCAGCTGCCGAGGAGTACGGAATCGCGTGCTGCTGAGGCTGAGAACTATACGAGATCTGAAAATAGAGACATTAATAAAATAAAAATATAAAAATCAATAGAGTTAATGATACAAAATATTTAGGAATTTATCTAGATCCCATCTCAAGTGAGATGGGATGTACATATTTCTCACATACTAAAGAAAATTAGATTCATAGCATATAAAATAAAATTTCTAACCGGTATATTAACTGAATATTATCTACGAATAATACATCAAGCTTTAGTCGAGCCACACATAACATATGGTATAGTAGTGTGGCGTGCTGCATGCACGACATACTTTAACGATTTAGATGTACTTCAAAGAAGAATTTTAAAATCAATGTTAGGCAAATCAAAATTATACCCAACTAATGACTTATAACGTATAATGATGCACAAGTATATGATACTAAACAACTTTACTTCTTACATACCATCACTCATTATCACAAAACTATTAGTGAACACGACATAAATAAACATAATCATAAAACCAGATATAAATTACGCGCAAAACATGTTCCTAAACCAAACAAATCCCTAATGAAACGATGCCACCTGTATATAGCTCCAAAATTGTACGAACATTTACCAAATAATTTAAAACAATTACGCAATACATTAGGCTTCAAAAAAAAATTAAAAAAATTTATTAACACGATTGGGAGAAATCAAATTAATAAAATAATCTCAAATATTACACAATAAATGCTCTACCATTCTTACCAATAATTTCTTTTTTCTCTCTATTTTATTATATTTTACAATTCAACATACATATGATCCATGCACAGGCGTTGTCCTCCTATGGATATATTATATTTATTTACTCGTTTCATGTTCCCTGTATTTTAGAGTAAATAAATATTATTATTATTATTATAATAGATTTAATAATTGCTATTACAAAGGTGCGAATATTCAAACAATAATACATTTGGTTCCTTCCAATGCAGAGAAATCCAGATACCACTGACGTGTACGAGAAAGAAGCGGGTGGTCTTGACAACCTCGTGCTCCTCTAACTTTCTAACATACGTATTCGACGCTCCTCGCTCTTTTCTTTTGTCACATTGCGACGTCGGCGGTATGTGGATTTCCCTGTATATAAAGCTTTATAAGCATTTCTTTTTTTATTAGAAAGGCATCGTCAAATTATTAGTGTGACATTTCGTAGTCCTTGTGGTTTTATCTTACAAAAATCATGCTGCATTCTATTACTTCCCGCGCGACTGGCGAGAAAGTACTGTAGTCGTGAAAATGTTAAAAGAGTTTTATATGTATCACTTATTTTCATCAGCCTGTCTGTCGGTCGATAACTTGGAAGCCAACGCTTGCATTTTGATAAATTGTTCACCCTACTACTATGTCAAGGATGAAACAGCTTTGTTGTTTTTGAAAATCGATCCAGTGGAGGCGGGGCTAGAGGCAAAAAAAAGAAATATCACCCAAATTTTTTTGACGATTCAGAGGCACCTGGTCATTTTCATAAACACTTTTTAAAAGTCAAAAATCAGGGTTGATATCTGTAAAGGGGCACGGTACGTCTCAGTTTTTGACGCTGTATATTATACGCTTGAAACCTTGGCAATTCCGCGCTTTTGTTAGACATATTTCACACATCATAGATTCCCTAGTACACTTGACCTTAAAATTTTCTCGATATAGGTACGTCGCTGTCGATGGGTGTGCCTCACAGCAACAACATTCATGGGCGCCTCAGGGTCAGGGGCTACATTCATCATCAAGATATAAGAGAGCAGGCGGTAGCACATTTTCTCAGGGTAGCAAATCTTAAGTCCGCAACATTGTACAAAAAATCATTCTACATTATGCAATTTTTAGTTGTATGAGCCGGTACATGTTTGTAGCGAACTTATTTCTCAGAGGAGTAACGTGAACATAATAATATAAGAAGAGCAGTGCAGAGCAAGTCTAGTTAACAGCGATTTTGTGCAGAGAATAAAACTTATCCCTTTGCGGTCCACCCCTTTTCAGATGATCACCAGATTACTTGAATCCTGATGATATTCTGACGTTATCACGATAACTACTTGTTGTCTATAACTTAGGATTTTTATCAGTCATAAAATAATAGCCTACAAAGTAGCTCGCCAAGTGGGAACACATCCGGAGGTAAAATCAAAAAATGGGTTTTTGTAGCTAATCTAGGTGACTTAGGGAGAGTTTCTTGACTTAACTTGGTGACTAGAATACCTTGATACACAAAAATGATACACTTTTTCGCTGGTTTCGGTGACATTTTAAAAGAATTCGTACATCTAGTCAATGACGGCAGCTGATGGGAAAAAGCTCCTCAGTCTGTACAAGGCTCTGATCCTCGAATCCTGCACACACGTTTGGGGTGCTGCCTCCTCGACAACATTATGTATGTTCGATGCTGTTCAGGAGAGCTGTTCGACTAATCGATGACTCTTCTCTAAGGGGCAGTCTCGGTACCCCTTCACAGGCTGGTTGCCGGCAACCTAGCTCTCTTCTACTGCTACGCCAAAGGGGTTTGCTTCTCAGAGCTCCCCTCCATGACGGCACGGCGTTTTCTGCCTGCCAGACTCACTGGGTCGATCCTCGTACAGCCAAAAAACTGGCCGATACGGCCTTTGTTTCTAGGGTATAGGTATTGTGGAACAATCTGCATGAGGAGGCTTTTCCCAGTTCTACTAGCCTTAGGCAGTTTAAAAATCGGACTAACAAAGTTTCTTCGAGATACTCATGCCAGCCTAGGTATCCTGACGTTTAAGCTTCTGCTTTAGTGTAATTATTGCTACAAATAGGTCTTCTGATTGGTATAATTTGCTCCCTAGAAGAAATGTTCATTATGTCAGGAAGCAAGAACCTCTAAACATTACCCAACTCCTTGGTGATTCAGTTTGAGTTATGTTCAGATGCCGTCCCTGTTTCCTGAATAATGTAAGTTGAACTTGGCCGGCCATTCACGCTTCAGGAGTCGGTCCGGTGCCCGACAACAAAACTCCCCACCTCCGTCTGATTTATTGCACCCCAGAGATCGGGTAACTCGCCCCAGATGGTCGACGTGAAGTGGGCATTACGGTCCTTTATTTTGCTTTATAGGAAAACGGGACGAACTTTTTAAGCACTTTTGTCTCACCAAGTGGAACACACCATTGTTTTACTGTAAAATATTCGCGACGTCACTGCTCGAGGGAGATACGTGTACCGTTTAGTCTGTTGCTTACTAGGAGCGGTGCCGAACGATTCTACCACTTTTATAACAAAGCAACAAGTGGTGAACTAATATAACGTAAACAGAAGTACAACGTATTTTTAGACTCAAAATTAGAAGTGATTTAGTTCTTTGAAAAAGTGCTTTATTTGTCTGTTAGAGAGCATCAAAGCTTTATTTTTAAAACACTTTTTTAAGATATTTTAAGCACCGATGGTCCCCTTTTGAATGAAATTTGGAACACGTACGATTTGTTAGACTTCAAATATTTGACTTTTTCTAATAAATTATAAAAGAAGGGCGAAAACTACCCCCACCTCTACATAAATTATGTCATAATTTTTTGGAAACTTTCTCGACGACTCTTATTCAGCACATCCTTTTATTAACTTCATTTTTTGTCTCTTATAAAAACAGGCCCAATCGTATAGTCTCCGAAAATAAAAATTGAGTTCCCAATTATTTATTCTCAATATACAAAGAGTCCAACATGAGTAAATAAAGACAATAAAAACATGCTAAATACGAGGCATTGCATGTACCAATAATAAAGTTGCAAATGCAACTGCAAATTACAAAAAAATGGCAAAACTTGTTACAGTGAATTATGTATTTACTTGATGTTCGCACTTATGGGTTTATGAATTTTTGTGCTAGATGTAGAATATAGACATAAAATTTTGCCTCTAAGCAGTATCATGTAGCTGAGGACCTACTGTACCACACTTTTTGTAACTTGTATAATGATTAAGTTCCATTTTTTTGGTCTGTGTTGACAAATTTGTGGTAGTAAGTGATGCTGTGTAAGAAATAAAGCTGTCGTATACCATGTATTTGTACATTTATGTATAATTTGTCAGTGGAATGAAGTTTCGATTTTTTGAACATCATGCTTAGAATACTTTTTCGAAAAATATCTAAACTACAGTGTATTTTATCAAGCATATATTCGTAAGATATTTAATTTGGTACGACACAAATCTAACTTTCTTCAAAATATAATTGACATGGATGCCCCAATGTAAGTGATGATCAAATACTAGTCCAAGGTATGTCATGCGTAGCACTCTATTAACTTGCAGTTCTTGATCACTAATTCTGAAGGAGAAATAAACTAAGGTGCAAATGGTAAAAAATGTGCTTTAGGATAGTTAATCCTTAATTTTCTGCTATTAAACCACCGAATAATTCTACACAATTATGGAATTAAGTTGGAAAATATCGTTTAAATATAGATTAAGTAACGGTGGGACTAAGATTGTTCCTTGTGGGACACCACAGTTAATGTTCATTTCCCTGATAAATGATCCTAATATTTGGGGACAGATAGTAGACCGTTTGATACATAATTTTGGATCAGTAAGACCTGAAACCAATTCTCTCGTATTATATTCAATATAGAAAAATAGTCTAGGGCTATGAACTAGCTCCAGGAGCTCCAACATAACGTGACCATCAATTCGATTTAAAAAGATTGCACCCAGCTACCATCTTGAAATTTCTAGCTGCCATTTTCATGTTGAGATGTAGCTTGAATCGTTTAAAAAATAAGTAGAGAGTGTGCATAAAGTATATGGAAAGAAACGCACTTTACGTCAAAGCAGAAACATAAGTCTTTTGCGATTTCTACCAAGAATTTTTGAATTTAAGTGCCTCTCATGAATAGTGAGAAATATAAGAAAGCATTTGCCCGCTACGAAAGTCAAATAGCACGTGATTTCTTCAGAACAGCGCAGTTTTGCTTTTTTCAAGCTTTCAACGGGTACACAACTTTCTCTGTATTATTTTTCAGAATTATTAATTTATAGAAGTCTATAAATGTCCACAAAACTTGTGTCCTCACTTTGCAAGGTGTAAATATATAACTGTGTGAATTTCCTCAGAATTGCACAAAACAGGTATGTAGACAGATTTTTAGGGTCAAACGCATTTCTATACTGTCATTTTGAAAATGAAATCTTGAAAATACTTATATATACAGGGTGTCCGCAAAGTTGGGGTTTTCCTTTTCAGAAACAACTACCCTTGAAATAACAAAGGTAATGTGTAGTGAAACGAGGGCGACCAAGTAAAAAAAATAAAGGAAAAAGTACTCACTCTCCAGTTGACGAGAAGGGCTAAGTACGTCTCTGCCCGAAATCATACCGCTCCAACAGAAAATGAAATCAGCTGATGCGCTACCGAGCAGACGCACCATGCCAGCCCAAACATTCACCGAAAATGTTTGTTGAAAATGTGCCCGACGGACAGCGTGCGGATTTTCTACTGACCAAACATGAGTGTTGCGAAAGTTATTCACCCCATTACGCGTGAACGTAGATTCGTCTGTCACCAATATGAACTTCAAAAAGTCCGGATTATTGTCATGTTGATGCAATAACCACTCACAAAACCGCACTCTTGCTGGAAAATCGTCAGGTTGAAGGGCTTGTACACGTTGGACGTGAAACGGATACAGCCCCTCTTCACGCAGCGTTTGCCATACTTTAGTTTTTGATACTTGCACTTCTCTAGCCACGTCTCTAGTGCTTGTTGAGGGATTCTCGTCTACGCGATTACCTCTACACGCATGACCGTAACCGTCGGTTGAAGGTTGCATACTGACCTGATACACTGACCCCGACCCAGTTCTGTCGTCGGGTTGAGCCAGTGACCTTGTACCACTAGGTGATGTCGCGGGTCGCAGCTACAGGACGGTATTCAGATATTTTTGATGTTGCAGAGCCCTTTATCTCGGTTCCCTTAAGACATTGGTGTATATGGTACTAAGAAAAATTTCTTATGTTTTCAAGATCTACACGTCGTGTAAAGAAAAACCCCAACTTTGCGGACACCCTGTATATATAAAATGAAAGTCGGACATACCACCGCCGTGATGTTTTACCTCCCCCCGTTAGAAAATATGTATTAGGATCTTGGTGCCTATTATAACTATTTTAACTCTTGAGAGCATCCCCTCTGACGCTGTGCATATTCTTGAAGATGTTCGAAAAGCTAATGTGAAACAAAATACTTGTTGATGTGAAAAAACATAATCACTTATATAGTATAGATTTCTTCCGGAAAGATGCCTGCTATTGATCAAGATAATCATAATTTGATATTAACCAAACTTGCTGAGGTTGGTGTTCGTAGCTGTCTTGTATAATGGGGTTCATCTTATTTGCGCGATAGAGAAATCTCCGTGCGTGTAAACGGTTATAAGTCCAGTGTGTGGAATTCTTCAGGGTAGCCACCTAGGTCCATTATCCTTCCTAATCTATATAATTGATATCCCACAACGTGCCAGCTATTGCCAGTGTCTTCTTTACACAGATGACTCAAAGATGTATGGTATAGTTGAAAGCCAAGACTGCGTCAAAATACAATTTGATACCAAAAACTCAACGAACACTGTTAGAAAAATGACCTGCCACTTGGCACTAGAGAATGCTTCTCAATCACATTGGCGAAGAAATTAAAGTATGCGTATGCGACAGACAATATCAATATTTGTTATGTGAGCAATATTCGGGACCTGAGTGTTACACTAGATGCGAGATGGAGCTTTAATTTACATATAGATGAATCTATAAATAAAACGAACTCACTCTACGAAGTACACATGAGCAGAATTGTCTGTCCAACACAAGCTCTTGCGAATTCTGACGAGTATCATTGTCCATAATTACGATTATGCAATGTAGTTATGTAATGGAACATTTCACAATCTTACCTCTGTCTCAGAGAAGGGTATTATCTGATTTATGTTTCCTTCAACGAATCTTGAACAATCAAGTTGAGTGCTTTTAGTTGTTTTTTCTCTGTTTTATATTTCCCATTATTGAATTGAACATTATACCACTGTATTCTCATATACACTGAGAACCAAATTTCTCTGACGGCTTGAGTTGAATGTGTACGAGAGAAAAGTGCGTATAGACACACTTGTTAGAAAGAGATAGATGCCGAAGAGGCAACGTGCCGCGTTGCCAATATGTTACACCAATTCCTTGAATTAAGAAACATGTTGAAGATATGCGTTAGTTTATTCTCCACGCAGAAATAATAGTTTTATTTTGAGCGTATACATTTTTAAATTGTCGATTTTGTCGAATTTGTTTATGACCGATTCCGGATCGGTCCTGACGGCACTTCATTTTAGATACATCGTGCCCCACAAATTAATGCATGGAACGATGCATCATTGAATCGTTTGCCAACACCGCTACATTCCAAGACAAGGTTTCCACTTCCATGATCATAGATGAGCGATTTTATTCACAAAATGGATTTCTACTTTGGAGCTTTTCGCTGTTTGATGTCCCTAATTTGTTACCTTTACAACCTCTCCAACGATTTTGGTATACCTCTTAGGCTATTTCTTCAGATTCAAACTACAATTTTTGAAGCTTAACGCACGAATAGTTTTATGTCTAAATTAACGCAAACAAATTCCTTATTACATCAGTGATTCGCTGCCGTGTAGCTCCGGTAATGGTAAAAGTGGTCAATCTAAGCAAGATTGCCGATTGAAGGCTAGCGATAAGGATGCAGCATAACTAGAGAAAAGCAGCTGCCGATGAATTAAGAGAATCAGATCATCCGGCTTGGTTCACTTTCACTGCAGGATCGCTCCGGGCGGTACAAATAGACGATTAGGTCACAGCGGTGCTCTGGGACTTCGACAAAATGCTTCGTCAGGGCATTTGAAGAGTTTCTGGACAAGAACAGAGACTAGTTCATCTCTGAATATATGCTAAGTGACATGGGAAAAAACACCCAGTAACAATCAATGTATTGCCACAATGCTTTGTATACATGTTTCTTAGGGTTAGGTACGTAAGTGTTTAAATACTCGGAAAAATCCAACCGTTGAAAAAAAAGTAAATAGTTGATATTCAGTTTTGTTATTGCAATTTCTAATTACCAATGATGTCACCGTAATTTTTTAAGTTAAATTGTTTATGGTTATGATTCGCATACTTTTCTTACCAGTGTTGTCACTGTAATTTTTTAAATTAAATTGTTTATGACTATGGTTCGCATGATTTTCTTCAAAACAGCATATATTCTTCAATAATTGAGATATTGACATGAATCAAAAAAGGGATGTTTAGAAAGGTATAGGCTTGAAATTCTTATACATATTATTTAGTGATCCAATATTTCCACAGGGTGTTCAGAAATTTAGGGCCAGATTCACCTTTTAGTTGCACCCTGTATAACAACAACAAATTACCTACAACCTGACGGAAAAACTAGCGAAATTGATGCAAAGGTTGAAAAGTTATTTCAAATTTTATTTGAACAAAATTTTGTTTGTCCGGTTAATTTTGCGTGGCAGTGTATTTTAGTACAAGCTTTCTGATCTACTTCACATCGTTTTTGCACTGGTATAAAACAAATCTGCCAATCACGGAATAATATGACTGGATTTGTTTTGCTCGTGCGAACTTCTAAAAACTCCCACGTATCTCGTAATTATGTTCAATAACAGATGATTAATCTGCACGTTAAATCAACAGAAAATTGAATTCTCTATGCATTGCTGTGGGTCGGTGGCTCTATAATGCAAATCTCATTATATATGCTTTATTGATCATTTAATGCCATAACTCAAACCAATTTTGATTTATTGGAATACTTTTGAATTTGCGTTGCGCTTTATTAGGTTCTTCGGTTGACATTAATTGCTTTTTTCCAGGTTCAACAGGGAGCTATCTTAGAAGCGTCCTCATTCTGACAGCGCCCAAAAAGTATGGAAGTAGGTGTTGTAGTGCTTTTCCCTGCTCTGCCACAACTGGTCAGGAAGTATTGTAGTCGCGGTAGATTTCGAAATTGAGATATCATGTTTTTTGGATATTATATGACATGTACATCACGGAAAACCATGTCACTCATTTTCGTCGTTCTGATCGTTCTCGAAAAATTCTTTGTTGTAAATGTAATGTCTTTGGAGTAAGTCAAAGACATTCTATCATTAAGAAGCTCCTGATGCCAGCAACACCGGGAAAATTAAATGATAAAAGTCGGATGTATGATGTACGCATAATTCGGAATAACTTAGCAAACGTTGGCGTTGCGAGCATGACGCGATGCTGCATCGTCGTGGAGGTCACTGCCGACTGTGCAATGGGTAACAAACTCCAACTGGTCTGCGGTGGTGTCGTCACAAATACAGAGCGACAGGAGAAATGTTCATCTACTTTAGCAATATTTGGATATTAGGAGTAAGTACCTCTTGAGCGATGATTTTGTATATGTATACTAAGTGACATATAAATCCGAACACCCAGTTTAAATGGTTTTATATTAATAAAATTTTGTATAAGTACTTAATGAAGCATAATAAGTAAATGATAAAAATTTCAAAATTGTTGCACTGCTTTAAAGCCCTTTGACCTTTAATAATGTGTGAATGCACCTTGATGTGCTACGCATTCTCCAACGCGCCTAGGCATGCTACTGATCAGGTGGTCAGTGTCCTCCTGTGGTATCTCATTCCAGGCAACCACCAACTCCTCTCGAAGTGCTTCTAGAGTCTGAGGAGGACGTTGCAAATTGAGCAATCTCCTACCCATCATATCCCACACGTGCTCAATTGGGGATAAGTCGGGAGATCTTGGTGGCCATGGTAACATTGTGACATCATTATGTTGAAAGAAGTCTATTGTGACTCTTGCAACATGTGGTCGGGCATTATCTTGTTGGAAAGTTGGATCTGCCAGGATGTCAAGATAGGGTAAAAAATGGGGTTCAAGAACTTCGTGGATATAACGCTGCCGTTCATGTTACCTCTGATGAAGATTAAAGGTGACTTGGAACCATAAGCTATAGCACCCCAAACCATAATTCCAGCAGTGTGATGAACATGTCTTTCAACAAAAAACTGTGGATTCCTCCTTTCACCACGTCACCTCCTAACCCTGGCACGACCATCGTACATGCCTAAACAAAATCGAGACTCGTCACTAAAGACAATACTGTTCCATTCCTGATCCCAGAGTGACCGTTGTCTGCACCACTCAAGGCGATTACGTCGGTGTTCTCGAGTTAAAGGGAGGACCCAGTGTGGCCGGTATGAAAACAAGCCAAAACTTCTCATTCGTCGGTAAACACTTCGCATGCCAATAGGTCTTCCGTGTTCTGCAAACCATTCATTTGCAATGGACCTGGTAGTGGAGAAACGGTCCCTTAAGGCCAATAATCTTAGACGGCGATCTTCACGGTCTGTTGTTCTACGGCGGCGTCCAGTGCCCCTTGCTCTTTGCGTACGGCCTTCTCGAAGCCATGCCTGACAACACCTAACCACAGTGTCTACATTACTTAGCACTCTAACTGCAATTGCCCGAAAAGAAAGTCCAGCTTCCCGAAGTCCCACTATACGGCCCCTATCAAACTCACTAAGTTGACGAAATCGTACAGGTCTCCGTACTCTAGGCATCGTAACCGATCGTAAAAGATGTCAAGAACCAAATTCCACCAACGTTGATTCTTTACTGTGGCTGAAATATTCATTTTTAGAGCGTTAGTGAATAAAAGCAGAATGAAAACCGGAATGTCCAACTGATAAGGCTGAAAATTTTTTCACTTGTTATTTACAGTAAGATAAATACATTCACCAACTTTTATTAAAATAAAACCATTTAAACTGGGTGTTCGGATTTATATGTCACTTAGTATATATTTAATATCAACACATATACTTTCCTGAATTTTATGATCCTTAAATGTACCACCCATTTCAACTGATCGTTAATTTGTGTTACTTACGCCTACGATGGTTCTCTGAATATTTCGTCAAGTAGATTGACTCAGTACTTATGACACATTGATATACAACAGACACGGACTGTACTTCATAGGTTTTTTGTAACATAACGTAGGTTTTTCTACAATATGTTAGCACAATGTTTGTAGAATTGCTGTGAACTCGTTTTGTAGCTGTACTTGTTACGAGTACTTAAACTTCAGCGAACAGCGTTTATAGAGAGAAAACGTGGGACACTAAAAACTATCAAGTCTGCAAGATGACATGTTGTCGGTTTTTAATGTTTCTTAGGTTTTCCAGGTCTCCAAAATTAACAGTAGAACGGTAGAACTCGCCACCCGCCGAAACCGGATGAGCACCTCCTGTCCTTCCGCACCTGACCGCGGGGCAATTTTGAATTTGCTAGTTTTACGTTTTATGCACCAATTTCATGGCCCCGAATTTCAGCTTACGTTAATCATAGTTGACTCGCTTAAAAATTTAAAAAGTACCGTATAATTATACAAAGCAACCTATACAAACCACGTAACCGATCCATTGTGTAACAATGTACTTTCAGAACAAAACATTCAGTGCTTTAACATTGACATTTAAATCAGGAAAAAGGACTGTGTGACATTAAGACCTCATGAGAACGTGATCGTAGTTTTTTACCATAAACGCATCGATTTTACGGTTGATAGGTCTTTGTCGGCCGTGATCTTAAAGCGGTATCTACAGTGTGTTACCTCGAGAACATTACGCAACCAGTACGTCACCGCGAGTACAGATGCCCATACGGGTACGATGCTACCTCCTCAGGACAATGTTTAATTACAATTAGCAGACAACGTCAAGCAAGTGTTACCATTTATACTTCCTTAGATATACCAGATGCGTAATGTACCTGGTAACATGCTGTAGAGCGACTAG